GCGGGGCGATTGTGCGAGCAGCGGAGTTGACAACCCATTGCGAACAGAAATTAGCTTTCCTTTACTTCCAGCGAAAAGAAGCTGACTCCACCACCCTCCCAAGGCCAGACTTATCCGCGCCCCCTAGGGATGTGCAGTTTGCATAAGATTCTGCCCCATCGTCCATCTTAAATGCGCATTCGCACCTTCCCAGGGGGGCCACCATCCCCCCTCGCCATCCTCTGCAAAACAAATTATGCGCGCGCGCTCGTTTATCACAAACCACCAGTTTTCAGTGATCTCTTGCAACAAATGAGACGAAGTGCGCGCGCGTCGTCGCACGCACGCGCCGGAATCGTGAAACAAACATTCGGTGTTGCATTGATTTCAAACGAGTGTCCGAAAACATTTACAACTCACCTTCGCAATGCTGGTTTTCAACGCACCCAAAAAGCTTACGCGCGCGCTCTTGTGAATCCTTGAGAAGGCCGTAGGTTCTTCACCATCTCCAAAACATGCTGCCAAGCGGGCTTCGCGCGCGCGTCGAAATCGTTACGCGCGTGCCGTCGCGAGACAAAAGCATACAAACACACGTGGCTTTGCAGCAACATTTTTCAAAAATGCGCGTGTTCGCGCCCTTGCGAATCCGCCATAGAACCATCGGGTTTCCAACATGTCCATGGAATTCTGCCAAACACGCCCCTTGGCAACGCATGCCGAAATCATTCGCGCGCCCTTGCGCACATGTTGGGGGGGGGGGGCGATCCGCGTCAAATACCACGCGGGCCATTCTCGCTCTCGCGCGTCGGCCCCGCGCGCGCATGTCGAACATGTTTTAAAACCTCCGTCATCGTCGTCGGTGCGATCAGCATCTGCGCCCGCGCTGGTCTCGCCGTCGTCGTTGTCAACATCGCCACCAGCATCGCTGCTATCACCATCGTGTCTACCGTTGTCGACGTTGCCATGAGACCGCGCCCGCCCAAGTCGCCGACTCGCACTGAAGTGTCCGCTGGGATGTGGCCAGAGCCGCCGCGGCCGCGTCGGTCGCGCCAAACTAGCTGGCCGCTGCGCGCGCGTGCTTGTGCGTCGACGCTGCCATAATACCACGCCCGCCCAATTCGCCGATTCGCACTAAAGTGCCCGCTGGGATGTGGTCAGCGCCACCGCGGCCGCGTCGGTCGCGCCAAGCTAGCTGGCCGCTGCGCGCGCGCGTGCGCGGGCTGGCGCGGCCGCAGAGATGCACCAGCCAACGCCAAGTACTCACCGCAATTGCCGCCGCATAGATTTTGCAAACCAAATTGCGGATGGGTGGGCGGGGTGTTTGCGCGAGCAGTGGAGGTGGTCAAGCGCAGTGCAGGGTAGCCATTTCTGTTTTCTAAAAGGGAAATCGGTTCTACCCCCCCTCCGGGGTTACAGACCCCACGGGGACCGATGCAAAACCCATTGGATTATGACCCAACGTCCATCCGATCTGTGAATTTATAATATCCTAGCCAAACGGGTATCGCCCCCCCGCCATATTTTGCAAAAACAAAAACCTATGCGCGCACATTCGCTTATCAAACATCAGAAGTGTTTTAAGAATCTCTTTCACAAAATGACACGAAGTGTACACGCGCGCGTCGTCGCGCGTGCATGCCGGAATTCTTCAAAAGCCTTCGGTGTCGGAGCGATTTCAAAATCGAGTTTCCCAAAAAACAGACAAACAACACATGTTTCGCAACACTGATGTTCTAAACAAGCTTACGTGCTTTTGCGAAATCATAGAAAAACACCGTTGCTAGGTCAATCTGATGAGCAAATGCTACCAAACGGGCTTTGCTCGCGCGCGTGTCGAAATCGTTCGAACGCCCTTGCGCGCGTGCCGTCGCGAGAATCCTCTACAACAAATGGGACGAAGTGCGCGCGCGCGTCGTCGCGCGTGCATGCCGAAATTCTTCAAACACCCTCGGTTTCGGAAGGATTTCAAAATCGAGTGTCTCAAAAACATACAAAAACACCGGTTTTCGCAACACGTATTTTCAACAAAAACATGCGCACGCGCTCTTGCGTCGTCGTCGTCGTCGTCGTCGCCGTCCCTCCTCCCCCATCGTCGCCGTCGTCGTCGCTGTCGTCGTCCTCTGTCTTTCCTCGTCGTCGTCGTCGTCGTCGTCGTCGGCGTCGGCCTCTTTGGCGTCGTCGTCGTTTCCGTCGTCGTTGTCGCCGTGATCGTCCTTCCTCCTCCCTCGTCGTCGTCGTCCGTCGTCGGCGTCTCGTCGTCGTCCCTCCTATGCCGTCGTCGTCGTCGTCGTCGTCGTCGTCGTTGTCTTCCCTCCCCCTTCGTCGTTGTCGTCGTCGGCGTCGCCGTCCTCCCTCCTTCGTCGTTCGCGTCGTCGCCGTCCTCCCTCCTCCATCGTCGTTGTCGTCGTTGTCGCCGTCGTCGTCCTCCCTCCTCCCTCGTCGTCGTCGTTTTCGTTGGCGACGTCGTCGTCGTCTTCGTCGTCGTCGGCGTCGTCGTCGTCGGTGTTGTCATCGATTCGGCGTCGTCGTCGTAGTCTTTGTCGGCGGCGTCGTCGTTGTCGTCGTCGTTGTCGCTGCCGTCGTCGGCGTCGGTGTCGTTGCCAAGTGCCATTTGGTACCTACCGTCACGGTCTTAAGAGGTCTTGCGACCAAGTTGCGGGTGGGAGGGTGGGATGCTTGCACGAGCAGTGGAGAAGACAGTTTCAAATTGAGCCAGTGATTGATTGCACGACATAGGTAGCACCACAAAGATTGCATAACATCGATTTGAACACAAAGATTGCACTTTGTAGATTGCAGCATGCCGATTGCACCATATACAGCGCGCCACATACATTCCCCCTCCTAGAAAAAGGGGATTGGGATCTACCGCCCTCCCCCAGACTTAACAGCGTCCCTCTCCGCATTGCAATTTACATGTGATTCTGCCCCATGGTCCATCCTAAATATGAATTCGCACCTTCGCATGCAGGCCAGCATCAGCTCCCCCCCCATCTTGTGCGGAAATTATCAGTAAGGGCTTCGCCGCATGCCGCCGGCCCCCTGTCTCGGATAATGGGAGATGCAAAAGCTAAATCCTGAGGTCTGGGAGCCGCCTTGAAGCAGTGCCGAGACCTGTTTGTCTTTCGACCCTGACCCCGCCGATCTGCGTGAGGGGTGCCACCGAATTTCAGAAATGTTACACATCCCCTGTGTTTTTGGACCCTGACCCCGCCGATCTGCGTCAGGGGTGACACCGAATTTTAAACATTTGGCACATCCCTTGTGTTTTTGGACCCTGACCTCGCCGATTTGCATGAGGGGTGCCACCGAATTTTAGAAATTCACGCATCCCTTGTGTTTTTGGACCCTGACCCCGCCGATCTGCGTGAGGGGTGCCACTGAATTTCAGGAACGTGGCAAATCCCATGAGTTTTTTGGACCCTGACCCCGCCGATCTGCGTGAGGGGTGATACCGAATTTCAGGACTGTGGCAAATCCCCTGTGTTTTTGGACCCTGACCTCGCTGATCTGCGTGAGGGATGCCACCGAATTTCAGAAATGTTGCACATCCCTTGTGCTTTTGGACCCTGACCCCGCTGATTTGCGTGAGGGGTGCCGCCGAGTTTCAGAGATGTGGCAAATCCATTGTGTTTTTTTACTCTGACTCCGCCGATCTGCGTGAGGGGTGTCGATTTTTCCCTCCCAGAAATTCTGAGAACCCTCCCAGGGCGTGGTAGTTCTGCTGGTTTGGGCTCCCCCCCCCTCGCGCGTTCATCAACAAGGAACAGTAAGCAGCAAGAAGCAGAACTGTAACAGTGGAAACTGGAAGCTGCAACTGGTACAGGGAGCAGCGCATTCCCGGCCTACAGCCTGGTGGCCCCGTAAGGGGGCCGGCGGATTATGTGCGGACACTCGTTGATCAATAATCATCAGTTTTTGTCAAAGCCCTTGCAAAAATTTCGTTACCGAGGAGCCCCGCATACCTCTTTTATGTCATGCGTGCACCACACTACCACTACCACCGCCACCATGTTTTCTGGTGCCCCCTGGGGCCGCTGCCGCGAGGGGGAGGAACTGTGGGGGAGGGGAGGGGATTAGGAGTGTGGATTTTTGTTCCGGACTCTTGGACAACATTTTTCGGCGCCCATAAGATCCGGGCAACGCTTCCCCCTTCTCTTCTTCTTCTTCTTCTTCTTCTTCTTCTTCTTCTTCCTCCGCCTTCTCCTCTTGTTTCCTGTGTCCTGCCCCCCTCACCTCCCGGGGATCTCCCTAGACGTATCTCCAGATCTCCGGCCTTGTGAAGCATCCTCCTCCTCTACCCACGTCTTCCTCTTCCCTTTCCCTCATCCTCCTCCCTGCGCCTCCCTCTCTCCTCCCTCCTTCCTTCATCCTCCATCCTTCTTCCTCCTGCTCCCCCCCCTCCCTCTCCTCCTCCCGTTCCGGGCTCGCTGTTTCGCTGGGCAAATGCGCTGGCAGGCATGTTCGCTTGCATCCCGCATCGCACTTGCGGTCAAGCCCGTCTGAAACACAGGAACGGGGCCCACGAAACTTGGCGGCAGTTGGGGCGGCCCCTTCGACGGAAAGTCTCCGGGGCCGCCGGTCTGCGTGTGCTCGGCGCCCCAACGACGGCGGCGCCTGGCGAGCCGGCCACCTCGACAGAAAGTCTTCTGGGCCAGCGTACCAGGCATCATGCACGTTGCGATGTCAAACGGGGACCGTGGCCAGGCACCGAGGAGTGGTTGCTCCCAGGAAGCGCAGAGCGGTGGAGTGACGCCCCCACGCCCATTCACTGAGCTCGTGTCCCTCGGAACCAGGGGGGGTTGGAGCCCATACGGGCTTGACAATTCTTACTCCTATCGACTTGCGGGGATGGGGCATGCCAGGTAAATCTAGGTGGATAGTATTGATTTTAGGAAGACCCAGGGACCCCAGGGAAGCCCGGAGCAAGTCGTGGACGCTCCGGCGCGATTCGAAGGCCAGCTGAAGTCGTTAAACCCCGAACGAAGGAGGGAGTAAGGGAGCGAGGGAGGAACCCCGAGGTGCGATCCAGGGCCAGCACTTCGGTCGACGGCTGCAAGATGGGCGGATTGCAGACGAAGGGGTCCTTCGCCCTCCTGCAGGGCTCGCCGCCCCAATCTGGGCCTTTCGGCATGCGCAGCGCCGCCGGCTCGTTCGTGACGCCGGTCCAGGCAGCCAACTCACATGCAGAATCGGGACCTCGCAAAGTGGGGGGGTGCCACCACAGGGGGGGGGAGTTCGGTCCGTTGGCGCATCGAACCGCAGAAAAACGATGCAAAACGAGGTCTCCGGCCGCCGCCAGAACCCAAGAGGTGTCGACAATCGGGGCGCGCGGGGGGCATCGTTTTTTCGGAAATTCGATGCACCAGCGGCTCGAACTCACCCCCCACTCAGGGTCCCCCCCCCTTGTGGTGGACCCCGACAGAAGCAGGCTCGCGCCGCGCTGACGCGGCGGCGACCCCAGCGCGGGCGTTCAAGGTTGAAGTAACGCCAGTAGCCTGGAATCGCCCGACAACCAAGGAGTTGCGCAATCGGAAGGCCAAAATCGTTCAAGGTTGAACGATCCGCGCGTTGTCGGAAACTCTTGCCGACGCCATCGCGACGTAAACCTGCCGCATTGTTCCCTTCTCCTTCATCCTGCGGGTGTTGACGGAAATGCCCGAGGTGTCCCCAGCCTCCTGTCCGCTTTTGAGCCGCCTGGTTTTCTGGGCCCCGTTGGGGATGCTGTGGATGCCACGGGAGCCTCCCTGGAAAGCTTGGGGTCGCATCAGGCCAAGGGCTTTTCTGGCCGCACCAAGGCCTTCCCCCACATGTCTGAGCGTCATCATCCTCCGTATCCTCTTCCCTCCTCCATCCTCCCTTCTCTTCACTGCCTCTCTCACCTTTGTCCTCACTCGCCTTCCCTCTCCCCTCCTTCCCTCCTACACATATTCTCTGTTATCCCCCTTCTTCTCCCCATCCCTCATCCCTCGTTGCTCCTCCATCCTCATTCCTTCCCTCTTGTCTCCTGCCCTCGTTTTCCCTTGTTCCGTCCTCCTCTCTCCCTCCGTCCCTTTTCCTCATTCACTCCTCTCTCCCACCCTCCCTCGTTTCTTCTCCGACTTCTGTTCCCTCCCTCCCTCCCTCCTTTCCTTCCTCTTTCTTCCCTCCCTCCCTTTATCCCTCCCCCCCTCCCTCTTACGAAACGCTCCTCGTCGTCGCGCCACCAGAGGTGTCAGTAGGGCGGTCCCGGTGTTTCGCATGAGCCTTCCGCGCCACTAGCGATCGGTAAGCTTGACGTGACCAACAGCTACACACATTGAGGGTGGGCCGTCCTGGAAATGCGGTCATCGTTCGTGGAACCGTCGGCAGTCGTGCTAATAGCTTCCAATTGCTACACGGATGAAGGGTGGATGGTGTTTAACATTCCGCTCGGGAAAGAAATTATCCAGGCGTACGATCCAACCATGTGCAGTTGTGAGCATTGCGTTGTGGGTACCGCATTCGGTGGATTTCCTTTTTGATGACACGAAATGTGCGAAGGGCATACGACATGCGTGAAAGGCGTGCCGATTTGGGTGTGGTGGTGCGTGCGAACGCAACCATTGGGGCCTCCGGTGGGGCTCCCCCTGGGGCCACGAAACGTGTGGGGTGGGCCGAAACGGGCCCGGCGGTGCCATGCGAACGCAGCCGATGGGGCCTTAGGTTGAATTCCATTGGAGGCCACGAAGCGTGTAAGCGGTGCGCCGAAATGGCTCGGGCGGACACATGTGAGCTGCGCCACGGAAGTATACGGTGGAGCTCCCTCATGGGGCCACGAAGCGTGTGAGGTTGTTCGGGCATGGGTCGGGGGGGGGGCGAGTGCAAAGTAAGCGACGGAAGCATCCGGTGGAATTCCTGATGGGTCACGAAGCGTGTTGGTGGTGTACCGAAGTGGGTCGGGTTCACGCATGCGAAGGAGGCTATCTGTGGAGTTCCATATGGGGCCACGAAACGTGTGAGAGTTGTGCCGACATGGACTGGACCGACGCGTGCGAAGTGCGCCCCGGAAACAATCAGTGGAGTTCCTTGTGGGGTCGCTCGGGCGGACGCATGCAAACAGCGCCGCAGAGGCCTTCGGTTGAACCCCCATATGAGGCAACATAACGTGCGAGGTGTGCGCCGAAATTTGTCAGGCGGACGCATGCGAACTGCGCCGCGGGGACCTTCGGTGGAGCTCCCTGTGGTGCGACAAAACATGTACGTGCGTAGCGGGCGTGTGGACATGGGTCGGAGGAGCGCGTGCGAACTGCGCCACGGAGGCGCTTGGTGGAGTTACCTACGTGGCGACGAACTGTGCGAGGGGCCTGCCACAATGGGTCGGGCGGACGCATGCGAACTGCTCCACGCATGCGTTCGGTCGAGCTCCCTGCGGGGCGACGACTCGCACGAGGGTGGCGTGCCGAAATGGGTCGGGCGGACGCATGCGAAATGCGCCACGGAGGTACTCGGTGGAACTCTCTATTGGGCGACGAACTGTGCGAAGGGCGTGCCACAATGGGTCGGGCGGGCGCATGCGAACTGCTTCACGCATGGAGTCGGTGGAGCTCCCCCCGCATGGCGGGGAGGAGGAGGAGGAGGAGGAAGACGAGAAGGAGGAGGATGAGGAGGAGAAGGAAGAGAAAATGAGGAAGAAAAGGAGGAAGGAGGAAAAGGAGGAGGTTGAGGAGGAGGCTGAGGAGGAGGAGGAGGAGGAGGTTGAGGAGGAGGTTGAGGAGGAGCAGGAGGAGGAGCAGGAGGAGGAGGTGGAGGAGAACGACGAGGAGGAGGAAAAAGAAGAAGAGGAGGATCAGCAGGAGGAAGAGGAGGAGGAAAGGAGGTAGTAGGAGGATCGCAGGAGGAAGAGGAGGAGGAAAGGAGGAGGATAATCAGCAGGATGAGGAGGAGGAGGAGGAGGAAGACGCGGAGGAGGACGAGGAGGAGGACGAGGGGGAGGACGAGGAGGAGGACGAGGAGGAGGACGAGGAGGAGGACTAGGATGAGGACGAGGAGGAGGACGAGGAGGACGATGAAGGAGAGGGAAGGAACGATCCAGGGGCCTGGTTGGCGGGAGAGTGTCTCGGGCCTACCAGACCCGCATCGATGCGAGCGTCGTCGAAGCCATGGTGCGTGCTGGCCCGGACAGCCGCCGCAGCGCCGCGAGGTGTGGATTCGTGGCGCGAGCAGGATTGATAGAACACACGTCCGCTACTTCTGGGCCACGGCTTTGCGCCGCCGTCCTCGGGGCTGGCGTCCGCGCGGGCGCGGGACAGCATGCCCCCCTCCGCGCCCCTGCGCCCACGGCGGCCGCGCTGGCCGACGCTCGCCAGCGCCTGGTCGCGGCGGCGGCGCGAGGCACAGCAGCCATGCTGCTAAGCGCGGACGGGCCGCGGCCTCGGCCGCGCCAGTCGCCCGCCCAAAAGGGGCCGGCCGCGGCCGCCGCTGAGGCCGTTTACCTTTCCTTGGCACGGCGTCTTATTCCATTCCGAGGAGGCCGAGCCGGGCGTTCCTGGGCGGGTCGCGTTAGGTGGCTGGCCCTGGCAGCGGCGGCGAAGACGCGACCTCCGAAACCCGCCCCCCGCCGCGGCGGGGGCGGCGCCCCTGGGCCGAGACTGAGGGGTGGAGGAGAGGAGGAGGGCGAGGAATGGATTGGGGGCAGGATGAGGGGCGCCAGGAGGAGGAGGAGGAGGAGGAGGAGGAGGAGGAGGGAGAAAAAGAAGAAGAAGAAGAAGAAGAAGAAAATCAGAAGAGGAGGAGAGGGGGAGGGGGAGGGGGCGGGAGGCAGCACTGGGAGGTAGGAGGGAGGAAGTATAAATGAGGGGAGGAAAGAGCAGGAGGGACAAAACGAGGATGGGGCGAGGGAGGAGGAGGAGGAGGAGGAGGAGGAGGAGGAGGATGTCGAGGATGTCGAGGAGGAGGAGGAGGAGGAGGAGGAGGAAATCGAAAAGGAAGAGAAGGATCAGCAGGAGGAGGAGGAGGAGGAGGAGGAGGAGGAGCGATGCGGCGGGGACGATCCAGGAGCCCGTATGGCCAGAGAGCGTCTCGGGCCTCCCCGATCCGCATCGACGCGAGCGCCGCCGAAACCACGGCGCGCGCTGGCCCGGACAGCCGCCGCAGCGCCGCGACACGTGGATTCGCTCGCGGCGCGAGCAGCTAGAATGCACGCGCCACTCCTGGGCCAAGGCTGCGCGCCGCCGTCCTCGGGGCCACCGCCCGCGCGGGCGCAGGGCAGCGTGGCCCCGTCCGCGCCCCTGCGCCCAGCGCGGTGGCGCCGCCAGCGCTTGGTCGCAGCGACGGCTCGAAGCGCGGCGGCCGCGCTGCCCGCGCGGACGGGCCGCGGCCTCAGCCGCGCCAGTCGCCTGCCCATGGGGGGCTGGCCGCGGCCGCCGCTGAGGCACTTATTGTTCCTCTTTTTTTCTATCCGCCCAGCGGTTTTCCGCGGCAATTTTGCCCGAACTCCAAGCGTCGCCCCCCCGCGCTAGGGCGGCTCAGAACCCCCGCGCATCCATGCGCGCGCCGCCGCCGCTGCCCGCGCCATTCCAACCGCGGCCTCGCGGCGCGAGGGCCCGCGGCCAAGCGTTTCCTTGCTGCCGCGGCTCCGCGTCGTGGCGCTGTTGCTGATGAACCGCGGGCGCGCAAGTCTTGCGTCCACAGCGTCACGGGCGAGCCCTGGCCCAACGCGGGCAGGGCGCTCTATTGCCGCCGATGCCAGCTTCGCAAAAGTGCGGATTTGGAACAATATAGCGAGCTGAAGGCCGTCTGGCAGCGACGACGCCGACGACGGCGGCGACGACGACGACGACGACGACAACGACGACGACGACGCGACGACGACGACGACGACGACGACGACGACGACGGCGACGATGGCGACGGCGCTGGCGCCGTCGCTGGCGCTGTCGCCGTCGGGCAGCGACGACGACGACGACGACGACGACGACGACGACGACGGGCAGCGACGACGACGACGACGACGACGACGACGACGACGACGACGACGACGACGACGACGACGACGGCGACGGCGACGACGGCGGCGGCGACGGCGGCGGCGGCGACGACGACGACGACGACGACGACGACGACGACGACGACGGCGACGCGACGGCGACGCGGCGACGGCGACGGCGACGGCGACGGCGACGGCGACGGCGACGGCGACGACGGCGACGGC